ATTTTAATCTAAATTCTTCACTTTCTTCTTACACATTACATTTCAGCATAGCAGTTTAGCATCACATTTTCAGCATAAAGCATTCCCACTAGCAATTTCTTCTGGAATTGCATTCTCTAGTTGTCATTACAAATTTTAAATGGTAACCAAAACCCTTAATGCACTTAAAATATAATATGTTTTCTGCTAGTAATTTCACTTTATTATCTCGTATGATTTCAAAATGTGAATACGTTACTGTGTTTCTACATTGTCCATGAGCATGGGCGTAATTACCACTGGGGACAGGGGGGACATGTCCCCCCACTTTTCAAAATCCTGTTTGTGTCCCCCCCACTTTTCAAATGTGTTTTTTTTTTTGTACGCAAGCACTTATCGCCAGGGAGGACCAAGGTGTGTGTGTGTGTGTGTGTGTGTGTGTGTGTGTGTGTGTGTGTGTGTGTGTGTGTGTGTGTGTGTGTGTGTGTGTGTGTGTGTGTGTGTGTGTGTGTGTGAAACCTCATTCAAATCCCACGGCAAAACTCAACTGTTCAGATTAGCATTTACATTAGCATTAAAGATCTGGTTAGCTCATTTAACTACTGTCATGTCCCTCCATACGGAGAGCTCTCGCCTGTCAGACTGAGAGGCTGATAACTACAGCTCAGTGAGGTAAAGGACTCTGAGGGTTTAGATCAGGGGTCAGCAACCTTTTTCATATGAAGTGCCATTTAAAAAAAAAATTGTGATCAGTGTGCCGACGATCGTGAAAGGTCAACAGGAGGGCGGGACCTCTTTCACCTGTCAGCGCAACTTACATGATGCCGTTTAAACAAATTTAAATAATTGGTTTAAACGCCATAATAATAATGAAGACCGTCCGTTCTGTGATTCTCCAGAACACACATGTGGCCAGTCCGCCCCTGTGTAGCATGTTATTTCAATGAGAGATGAACAGATCGCCACTGGGCTTTCAACTAAAGACACAGCCACGCAAAAACTGCGGCGTTTGTACAGCTCCTTATGGGTACTGCAATTAGTGAAGTGCCGGCAGCACTACACCCCTGATGGTTTCACCACGGAGGAAAGCAGCAGAAAGTCGACTGGAGTTAAAGAGAGCGGGGCCTAGAAGTTATCCTTCTGCGCTGCGTTGCTTGCATGGCTTCCTTCGTTCAGGATCCGAAAATACAATTTTAATATTTTGCACACTTATTCCTAGTGTGCCACTGGTTACGGTGCCGCGTACCTAGGGTTGCCGACCCCTGCTCCATACTGATCTGCTTTTTAATTTATCGTCTACTTTGATGTCTTCCCTGTCTGTATTTTATAATTTGCTGATTTGCTGTTAGAGCATTTCTTTTATTCAGGCGGGTTTGGGTGCCTTGAAAGGCGCCTCCAAATGATATGTATTATTATTATTATTATTATACGTGTCATACAGCAGTTTGGTTGGTTTCTTGTTACTACAAAGATTTGTGCTAGCTTTTACACATCCTTTTCACATTATATCATTTCATTGATGTCATTTATATGGCTCATTGTCAATGCAGCTATTTGTCATATTTCTTGTTTTGCTGAGTATTCTGTGTGTGCATAATGGAACTCATGTTGTTGAACAGTGTTCATCATCATAATTAGTAATCATAAATTGTGTGTGCAGGAGGACTGTTGGCATAGCAAAGTTAGCGATGTGCGCTCCCAGCTTCGCTTCCTGGAGGAAGTGGAGAGTTTGAAGAAGAAGAGGAAGGATGACGAGGAGAGAGAGAGGCTGCTGCGATTGGCCAGAGTAAGCTGGGCCAGAAAGAAGCCTGCCCCTTTTTTACTTAGACGACATTTACTTTTTTTTATTCGAAAAAAGTAATTTAATCTACACAACCAAGATGAGTATACTATAAAGCTAACCATTTGAAGGATTTAAAATGGTCTTTTTTTTTTAAATGTCAATGTTATTTTAGATCACACCACATTCTATTTGTTTCAGTATTACTAACTCAACATGTCTGTGATCCCAGAGTCGCTCTCACACTGAAGACCCACAGCTTCTGCTGCTCAAGCAAAGAGCCAAAGAGGTGTGTATATGTTTTGTGAGACTCGACCACACAGTCCATGTGCCAGCTGAATAGCCCCAACAATTATTATACATGTCTAAATATGATACTATATAATCCCGTGTCTCTACTCTCTTCAGATGCAGCAGATGGAACAGGCTCAGGTTCAGCAGAGAGAGGCCAACCTCACGGCTCTGGCTGCCATCGGGCCCCGCAGGAAGAGGCCCCTGGAGCTCACTGAGGGCCAGGTAGGTCTGTGTGCTGAAAAATACATCGACTGCGATGAGACTCTAATTTCACATTAAAAGTCTACAAAGACATTTTCTAATGACTCATGTCATTTGAACTGCTGTAAGGCTTTTAATGTGAAACAGCAGGAAGTTCATTGACATTAGAAATGTGGAGAAAATGGTTTGTTATGATTGAAGAGAAACAAAATGTCTGGTCAAAAGAGGAACTCAAAGCAGCGGTGATTACAAGTTGCGCATCTAATAGAAAAAAAAGGGAGGAATGATTTAAGTTTGTCGTTCATAAAAACATCCTCCTTCCTAATGAATGCGGTATAAGTACCTGTTTTGGGTTACTGAACATGAGTTGAGCATTGACAATATTTGTTTTTGCTCATAATAGATGCAGTCGTCTTAAAGGAAGACACAAGTCAAGTTTGTCTGAAAGTGTAAACATCTAAACAGTTTATAAAGTAATACATAATATGCTTCAAGCCGGTCATCAATGAAAAAATAACCCCAACCACAATCAGCGGTTTGACTCACAATATGGATTTTAAAATAAAAATATATGTAAAAATGGTCACATTGCTTCAGCTGAGAAAAAATAGTCAGTTCAGCTGAGCAGCAACAGCTGGAACTGCCGTGACAGCAGCACTGATGGAGGTTTTCTAGAGCTGTCCAAGTCCGTTCACGATTTATTTTCAATCAGCCAGTCTCTAGTCTAAACACTGCCAGAGTCCACACTGTCTTCTTCTGCTGTCCCCTTTAGTGTTTACTTCTGCTGATTTCTCTGACGTCCTGCTCTTTACTTCTGTTGAGCAGTTTACTTGGGACAGTTTAGGGCTCCTAAATCCAAAGTTTCTCTCCACAAATATAAAAGTGATTATTCAAAAAGCATTCCACAGTGTTCTCAGATAGAGGAACATTAATGTTTTATTGGCCAAAGCTGACATAAGATTGACCGGACTTACTCCTGTGGATTGATATGAGTGCACACAGTCCCTTGATCAGACAACCTGAGCAGCGGTCTGCTATTAAGAAAGAACAGACCGCTGAATTTCCAAATTGACCAATCAGAATTGAGTTGTTTTACTAAGCCGTGTAATGATGGACTATAACACTTCTTTTCAAGCTGCTCTCATGTTTGTTCCACTAAGACAACCTCCAACATTTACGTAGCTTAACCAGTTTAGATGTGGAATTCTAATGAATGAAGACCAACAGAAGACTTACCAAATGATATATCGAAGAAGAAGAAGAAGAAGATGATGGAACGAGGTGCTATAGAGTCCAGGCAGACACACAGGAAGCCCGCAGCTCTCCACAGTCAGAATCAGTGAGACTGTGAGTTTAGCTCATTGAGTCTTTACCTCTGTGTGTTTAAGTTGAGCCCTGCTGGCTGTAGGCTTAGAGATGAGGACGCTCTGTTAGCTGCACATGCTTCCTGCTTCCTGCTGCCTTTGAACTCCATTACCCAGAGGAACCGGCTGCCTGCCGCCTCTCACCGCCCCAGGGCTTCGTCTACCTCTGCGCCGGCTTTACCTCAGCTCACACTGGAGGAGCGATGCTCCTGTGAGTAGAGAGGAAGCTCTGTTTTCTCAGATTCTCTTCACTCATGAGCTCGGGTGGAGAACCGGTGGAACGTGTTATTGGGCTACTGTCACAGGGCTGTACAAAATGTCATTTATTTTAACATTTTAACTTTGGTTGAGGCTTTCAAATGAGGATTTAAATGTATTTTGTCAAATGTTATGACATCACCCTCACATATAATAATCCTTAATACAAATGCTAATCCCAGCCAGAACAAAATCTTCAATGTCGATAAAGTAATTCATCTGATTAGAATGTCAGCTGTTTGGTACAGCCTTAGTAAAACATGAATTGTGATATAACTTTCACTTTTCACAGTGGGAAAGAACAATGTTTTATTTATTCATCATTTTAGAATGACATTAACTCAGATCATTTATGTTGAAAAGGTCAAATTCATCAACTTTTTGGACCAACTCATGGCTCATGTTTGTATGTTGAGCCTCTACTGCGACATGTCTCTGCTTTAATGCTCAAAAAGGTCTTTATTTTTCTCACACTGCCTGTGCTGCAGCACCTCTTTTCACCCTCTGTCTGAAATCAGAGCCCAGTCTGCTCTGATTGGTTAACCACTTAGAGATGTCCCGCCCGTATCCTATCAAGTACAATGTGTTGGAGCGCTAGCCAATAGAAGCGCAAGTGTTACATAGGGACTTCAATATGTTATGGAATCAAACAAAGGAGTCCAATTGAGGTGCTTCAGGCAGGGGGCGGAGAGAAACTCCCTTTGGAGGGAACTTTGGGATTTTAGCCTTTGCAGACCATTTACATGCCAAAAGCCTATATAACACAGTACATGAAAATGTGTCAAACACTGGCCATAATAACAGCAGCTTCACTGTGCAGGGCTACTTTATGATAATGAAGACTATTGTTATTTGTATACAAATCTATCTGAAAAACCCTCTCATATTTCTACCTGTGTGTGTGTGTGTCAGGTGCCTGTGCTGCCCAGGCAGTGTGTACAGAGAGTGTCCCGGGTCATGCTGAGGGACCTGCTGCTGTGTATGGAGCAGGATCGCTTCCTCCGCCATTCTCTCACCCTGTACAAAGCCATGCTCTGAGTTGCTACTTGTGATAATTGAATTGCTTTCATTATTATCCACAGTAAGTCTTTAGTTTTTTTTTTTGCACCTGGATTAATATCTTTCTGTTTATCTACTATTTATTTTGAATACGTTGTTCAGAACGTAGTGCAGGAGTGTTGGAAAGCAGCTGCTCTCTTAAGCACTTACTTGCTTTTGTTGTTAATTAATCTATGAGTATGATTTAAAAAGATGAGTTAATAAGAGCTTCTAGGAAACACTAAGTGTTCTATGAACAGTGTTGAAAAAGTAGAAGTATTCTCAGTTGAATTTTTTGTTTTTCGTGTATTGTTTGACCATTAAACATTTTTTTGAATTCATCACATCCTGTTATCTGTATTATCATCGGTTGTTTTGAGCTAGAGAAGCTCCACAATGTTAAAAAAAGAACTATGTAGGAATTACACATCACATGAGTTAGACAGTCTCCTGTTATATATTTCCTATAACATATATATTTTAGAAATTGAAATGGCTAGCTTGTCTCTGTTCAAAGTTTGAAAAAGCAACCTCCATATTTTCTAGATTTTGCTATTAACATGGTATATGTGTTTTGTCTAACCTGAAAAACAAGACCCAATATTGATATCCATCTTCTCTTAACTCCTGGCTAAAAGAATAAAGCAGACTGCAAAGCGCTTCAGATATGCCTCATGACTTCCAGTTTATTCATCATAAAATGTTCTCACAAGAATTATGCATAACAGAGAAAACATGATATATATTAACAATGCTGGCCTGGGTTTCTGTTCCTAAAGCCCATCGTTTCCAATTAGAATTTGTAAAAATGTGCCATTTTGGGTTGAAAAACAGTCAAATCCTTTGTGTATATTATTTTTCTGCTATTATTTTATTATAAAAAATATTAAAGGAAGTCACAAATAAAATAAATCAGTTTTTTTGTTCACGGAGAACTCTGTGCTTGTGCTCTAAAAGTGTACTTTGCCAAATGCAAACACTTTGGATTTGCTTTATGATAAAGTACATGATGGTCTCTGCAAGTAGTACAACATAATGAAACGGTACATGGAAGGCTCTACCTCATGATGTATACACAGTTGCCTTGAACATATGCAGTACCTATACAACATATACAGTGCATAATAACGAATAGCCTTGGCTATGAAATGTTTAAGACTATTTGTAGACCTGTCATCCAAGTCTTAACAGCAACAGATCCTTTAAACTTTGTAATTTTGTTGTTATCTTCCAAAATGAAAAGCCCTATCAGCAGGATAGTATGTACATCTTTGACATTAAACAAATTATTTATATGATAATTTTCTTCTCTGTGAACAGTTTCCGAAAAATCCAATATGAGTATTAATCTGTCAGACTTTTTAAGTCACAATATACTAGAAAAAATGTATCTTAAAGGTGGGGTATGTAATTTTGGAGAAACCAGCTCGAGTGCGCTAGAATTTGAAAATACACAGCCGGAAAAAATCTGCCACTTCCTTACAGAGCCCCTCCTCCAACACACAGGAACGTGCACATGACCAATGAGGGCACGAGATAAGTTTGTGAACAGATGGAAGGCTGACAGGCAGGTAGGCCATCCAGTTATTTTAGCCAGGCCGGCTAAAATGATTGGTCGTGCTTTTTACAGTACTACGGCTTCCACAGATGAAAATGTTTTATGGATTTTTTGTGTGCCTTGGCAGTCTACATTGCTATCGGGATGTTAAGAGCATTCCATGGAATATCACAAAAAGTGTATCTCGAGCCGGTTTCTCAAACTTACCAACCCATTCTTACATAAACATAAAAAAAATCTTCTATTTTCAGGTCCATGTTTGTATTTTGTTCCTCTAATGTGACATCCTTGGATGCTTCAACATTCAAAAAGCGCTTTATTGTTTTTTACATTACATGTTACTTGTTAGACGCTTTTATCCAAAGCAACTTACATACTCAATACTGTGGACATTCCCCACAGGAGCAATTTGGGGTGAAGTGTCTTGTTCAGGGACACAACGACATGCTGACTGCAGTGGGGTTTGAACCTGTGACCATCTGATCCCCATACCAAGGCTCTACCCACTGCGCCGCACGCCTCCATTTTTCTCATACTGCCTGTGCTGCAGCACCTATTTTCACCCTCTGTCTGAAACCAGAGCCCAGTCTGCTGTGATTGGTTAACTGGCCAGCTCTCTTGTGATTGGTCAACCGCTTAGAGATGTTTCGAAAACAGCCAGCCCTTTAGCTTACCATGTACAGTGTGTTAGAGCAATAGCCAATAGAGGCGGGAGTATCGTTAGTGATTTCATTATAATACGGAAATAAACAAGAGTCAAATAATAAGCGGGCCTCTTTAATGCGTTATAAGCCCTTGTAAAAACCATGCACTAATTTTATGAGCTGTAGCCACCAGTCATTTCCAAAGAGTGTATTTTTGCATCATTCTGTAAACATAAGCATGATGTGAAAGTGCATGTGTGTTCAGCATGTGGTCTGAGACCATGGACAATATGAAATAGGTTTGGTCAAAATCACAGTTAATATACATACTGTACTTTCTATTTTGCCAAATGTATATAACTTCATAGGTCTATCTTTAACAACTGCTGGGGACATGTGGGCGATGTCTAAATCTCTGAGCAGGACTGTTCTATAGCAGTACCAATGTACATGTTTTTTGCATCAATGTGATGAAGTACCCTGATTTTCATGTATTTATTTGATGGATAAGACAAAAACAGTCATGAGCATCTCATTATCTATCAATGTTTTTTCAATTTGATTCCCTGGAAATATACTATATCACAATATAAAATGACATATACAGTGATCAAATATATAATCTACAGTGCTAACCTCCATTTCAATATAAATGCTAATGCTATACGTCACCTTTCCCACTGTTCCCCTGCACCGATGAATCTATTTTATACTGTAATAATATTACTGTCTAATTCATGTGCTAAGTATCAAAAAAGACTTGCATCTGAGTCACCCATACAGCCTGTTTTCAGTGCAGCGGTAAATATTCTGGGTGTTTTTTTTTCTGTCATGCTGAAGTGAATCGGCTCTTGCTGTGATAAACAGTTGCTGGAGTTTCTTACTCTTACTAGTCTGTGAGTTCATGTTTTATTTGTATGAGGTTGGGGGGGTGTCGGCTGCCTTGGCCCTCCCTCCGTAGAATGTATTCACTAAACTGGGATGAGTCCACTCCACCGCCACATGACCCTGTGATCCAGAACCCTCTCTGCGTCAACCGCTCCAACACCTGCAGGCACACAAAGCAGAGCAGCACATTTACACACTTCATCCAGAAACAAGATGGAGCTTGTTCAACATTTCGTACATCAATATGAAGGCACTTTGTGAATATTTTACAAATGTTCCCACTTTAGTGCCCTCTATATACTGTACATAGATGGGCGCATCAGGGTAAGCAGAGAGGCGGATGAAGTGATGCACCCATCATGCCTAGTGCCTACCGTACAAGCCTGGGGTGCAGTGTTATGATCTGGGGTTGCTGCAGTTGGTCGGGTCTAGGCTCAGCAACGTTATGTTCCCAAAGAATAAGGTCAGCTGACTACCTGAATATACTGAATGACCAGGTCTTTCCATCAATGGAGTTTTTCTTCCCTGATTGGCACGGGCATATTCATCGTTGACACTGCCAGGATTCATCGGGCTCACATTGTAAATAAGCATGAGACATCCTTTACATGGATTGGCCACCAGAGTCCAGATCTCAGCTCCATTGAGGATCTTTTGGATGTGCTGAAGAAGACTTTGCGCAGTGGT